GGAAACGGACCAGGGGCTGACTACAGGAAGCCGGAGGCAGAGTTGCTCTGCCCCCAGCTTCCTGGAATCAGCCTGATCAGTTTCAACGGCTGCTGAATCTGGAGCCTGGGACAGAACAGCTGGGGCGCTGCCCAGTAGGTTCCCAGAGCCCCTGGCTTTGGAAAGCCCCTCCACGGCTTTGCTCTGCGTCTTCCTGGTCTGCAGACTAGGGAGACGCAGAGAAAGCCCCAGAGTACACGGGCGGCAGGACTGCGAGGTCCCGCAGTCCGTGTACTCTGGGGCAGCCCCGTTCGTAACTGCGGATCCGACATAAGTCGGATCCACGTAAGTCGGGGACTGCCTGTATATAATATATTAAGAAAGAGGGTGAATTTCCTGAGTTTACACTGTACTGTGCTCTATATAGCATAACAGGGGTGGGAGACCTTTTTCGGTTGGAGGCCACTGACCCACAGAAAAATCAGTTGGGGGCCCACACACAAATGAGAAGCCCACCCCCACCGACATAGCTCCCAGCTGAGAAGGAGAAAGTCACTCCCCACATTTCTCTCTCAAACTAGTGTCTGGGGGGCACATCCTTGTAGATTTTGCATGCTACAGCCCGAAGGTGGGACAGCGGGGGAGTTGGCGCTCTTGTATGCTGGAGGGGTCCCCATAGCCTCAGGGGCTGAATCCAGACAAGCCGGGGGCTACATCTAGGCCCCGGTCCTGTGGTTTCCCACCCCTGCAGCATAAGATGGATTTATATATGGTCCAGCTCCTAGAGGAGCTGCATAATTGAGTGCTGGGGAAAAAGTCTCACTGCACAGCTTTTAATGTGTGTCTTTGACCTTGGGGAATGTGGCTCTGTCTTTGTGTCTTGGCTGAAGCAGGCTAGATAGCTGGGCTGACCAGTTATAGGGTGCCCAGGTTATTAGGGAAAGCAGGCTCAGTAAGGTCTCAGCACATCAAGTGACAGTCCCAAAAGGATCAGTCACAATAATATTCTACTCCTGGCTAGTGGCAAACTTTGGTTTATTATTGTTAGGGCTGCAGCTTTGTCATGGTATAGAAAAAGTCCGAGGTACCCTGACTTCTGTAGGAAGGCAAGAGGGGAGCTGTAGGCCCAGTGTGGTTGGATGGCCCAAGCAAGGAGCAACTTTGGCTGCAGTGAGCTGATCCTGCTCACCCTACAGCAGTGGCCCCAGAGTACACAGCAGCTGCTAATGCCAGGGGGAATGTGGGGCAGGCTTAATCTCCCAGCTCCCACCTTGGATTAGGATTGTGGTTTTGGGGCAAAAAGGGTACTTTTTAAAATCACGAAACAGTCACTAATTACATTAATTCGGGCAAATTTATCGTGACTGCTCTGGTTTTTTTAATTAAAAATGCCATGACAGATTTGCAGTTCTAATTTTTAATTTTGCATTTATTACAGCTTGAAATCAGAATTATTGTCTACAGTGTAATTTATGTTCATGGCACTTTACAAACAAATTAAATGGGACGGGTACCCCCAAAGGACTTAAATGTTACAGGCCAAATTCATAGATCAGCATACTCCATAATGTAATTCAGAATACTCCATTGATGTCAATAGAGCTATGCCGGTTTACACCAGTTGATGATAGTCATTGACTTTAGTGGGTGCAGAATCAAAGCCCTAAATAAGACTTAACACATCAAGAGGTAACAATAAACAAAAGGGCTGGGACAGAGGTATGTAATAGTGAGGGTTACAATAGTGAAAGACTGTGAGTATAATTACGCATGCATCTTACTGATTCTTCTTTAGGTTTGTTTTTATTTTAATTCCATATTAAAATTTGGATATGAGAATGGAGTGACTATGCAGGAGGAAAAAAATACACAATCCCAAAGGCCCATCCATTTGCATTGTGTGAGATTATTTGCTTCACCCTTCAGATATGTACTATTTTATTAATATAGCATTAGTGGTTTGCCTGAGTTATCAAGTAGTGGAAGTGAGGTAGAGGGTCTGATGAGGAGTATTGGATCAGATTGTAAAATTTATTCAACTGAATGAAAACCTAAAGAAATGTCCTTACATTTGATATATGCTTAACCACTATCTGACCAGTTTAAGTTGACCAAGAATTACACAGTCTTTAATGATATTGGAGGTCTCAGATTTACTGTGTAGAGAATGACTGACCTATTTCTACTTGCTATAGAGATGAAAAGTTGCAATTTTGTTACCCAGTCATGCACTTTTAGATTTCTGTAATTTCTGTAAACACAGGAAGGAGAAGTTATTAATTTTATTTTTTCTGATACCTTCAAAGGGACAGCAGAGATGGCTTCAGAAGAAAAAGCTTCTATCCTTCTCATTACTTAAGGGAGAGATCCCCTCATAAGAGGGACTCTCCTTTCTTCAGGGAATCGCCTGTGAGCCGAAGGGATTCTCCACACAGCAGATCCGGCTCCAGTGTCAGCAGTAGGAGCTACTCCCCTGAAAGAAGCAAAGCCTATTCTTTCCACCAGTCCCAGCATAGCAGAAGTATGTCATCTTTACATAAAAGAAATATTTCTCAGCAAGGTAATGCTGGATTAATGATAACTGGTTAGTGAGGTGAAATTGATTCTTATTATACAAGATCTTTCTCTATATAATGAAGACATTAGACTTATTGTTGTGATTATGTTTTCCTACCTTATTAAATATTTCAGGGAGCTCTTTATTCCTTTATGTATTAAAGGTCTCTTGAGGGATCTTGTAGATGTTTTTCAACAGCCTCTCAAGGCTGGCTGCAGTTCCGTCTTGTGCATGACTTTTCTGTGTACATCAGGTTATATTCCTCTAGTAGCAAATGCTTCTATTTTTCTCCCTTTGCTGCTGTGATGGATTCCTTTTACAGGCAGCTTTGCCCTGAGCAGCAGTGGGTGAGGGCTTTTCTTTCTACAACTGAGAATTCTCATGGGGAAGCCAAATACAAAGTAAAGATCCTTACATTTTAAAACAACATGCTGTTTCTTATAACTGTGCTATCAATACTTGAATATTGTTTCGTTTAGCAGTTTAACCCTCTCTCATTCTCCAAATCTTGCAACCTTCAGATCAATGCAAAACCTCATGCCTATAACTAGGCAAGCCAATATATGGCTTGGATTTCAAATGAATGTTTGTTCCCCCCCCCAGAAAGGTGATCCGTGTTTGTTTGTTTAAAAAGTATCCAAAACCTCTATGTATGAAAAACATGCAAACTAAAGTGGAAGTATGTTTTCTTTCCCATTGAGGTACTTGTTGCTATGACAGTTTGTGCAGATTAGATGGCTTTGAGTTTCTTTAAATGCAAATTTACTTATATGAAATTTACCTTACATTTTCCAGAGTGCTTATAACTGGCAGGTATAGCACCTTTCACCCCAAAACATCTCAAAGCATTTAACTAACTGTATAAACACTGAGGAGTTTCTTCATTAACTACTGAAATACAGACTAACTCTCAGGAAAGCATTACAGTTATTGCAGGGTTACTACAAAAGTTCAGATCAGAAAGTAAAGAATATGACATCCACCTGAAATTGTAATAGGGATTTAGTTAAACAGAATGTAGTTATCGAGGACAGGAGAAGATGTTCTTGTGCACGACTTTTCTGTGTACATCAAGTTGTTTTCCTCTGGTAGAAAATGCTTCTATTTTTTTCCCTTTTCTGCTGTGATGGATCCCTTTAAAAGTGAATATGGAAAAGTTATTTACTTGTTTCCATGAAATAAGAACCAGGGGTCACCAAATTAAATTAATAGGTAGCAGGTTTAAAACAAACAAAAGGAAGTTTTTTTTTCACACTGTGAGACTCCTTGCCAGAGGAGGTTGTGAAGACCAGGACTTTAACAGGGTTCAAGAAAGAACTAGATACATTAATGGAGGTTAGGTCCATTGGTGGCTATTAGCCAGGATGAGTAGGAATGGTGTTCCTAGCCTCTGTCAGAGGCTAGGAATGGACGATGGGAGAGGGATCATTTGATGATTCTCTGTTTTGTTCACTCCCGCTGGGGCATCTGGCGTTGGCCGCTGTTGGAAGACTGGATACTGGTCTAGACCCAGTATGGCTGTTCTTATGTTCAGGAAAGCCGTCTAAAAGTTGAGGAATCTTGTGGAAATTGGGAATTTTCTATAATTTTGAGCATATTTTTGGTGTTTTTGCAGCATTGTTAAAATAGCCACTCATACATCGGAATCTAGTAGAAAAACCTGCTGTCTGAGTTGTAGAAAATTGTACAGTGTGTGAAAGCTTTTTTTTTTTTTTGGGTCATGCATTATGTGATGCAGTTAGAGACTGTTCAGAGATGTCAGGTTGGAAAATGTAGTATTATTGTCTCTCTAAAGTTATACTGTAGATGCAATCTGGCAAATAGCTTTGCAAAGCAGTGGCTAAATTAGTCAATATAGAATATCTGCACTTAGGTCTGGGCTATCTGTTACTTCAGATTTAAATGATGTTTTGTCTGCCCATTTAACTGTTTTTAAGAAAGCAACTTTTGCTTTTACCATGCTACTTATCTTTAAAATTGTTTTCACCCATTAATTGTTCTAAAAGCGTTCTTGTGACGACGGAGTTAAAATGGCTTACTTGCAGCATGGAGAGAGTTTAAATTCTGTTTGTTGGAATAGTGTTTGAATATGATTTGACGGGAAATCTTTGCTTTGGAGAACATGTAAGAAAAAGCCCATCCTGTTACCTATATTGTATTTTAAAGAACCAAATCCTAACAGGGCCAGAGTTGATGGTCCACATGTTTATTTAGTATGAATACAGGCAGTCCCCGGGTTACGTACAAGATAGGGACTGTAGGTTTGTTCTTAAGGTGAATCTGTATGTAAGTCGGAACTGGCGAGCAACTCTGCCTGGGGCTTCCTGTAGTCAGCGCTGGTCAGTTTCAGCAGAAGCTGACTTGGGGACGCCTGGGACAGAGCAGCTGGGGTGCTGCTGGGTTGCTCCAGTAGCGCCGCTCCTCGGCACTACTGGACCAACCCAGCAGCACCCCATCTGCTCTGCCCC